TTGCGAAGCTGGATTTTTTTTTGGGCACTGGAGCGGGCTCCATCTGCCATCCCACCACCAAGACCAAACGGACCTTTCTGAGGAAAACATGACAACAGCAAAGCTTCACCCAATGCACGTGAAGCTCTTCCGCATTTTGTTACACAAGTCCACCAACACCACCAACACCGCTCAATAGTTTCAGTACGACTTGATCAAATCCGAGATCGTGGTTCATCTCTTGAATCAAATCAGAGAACCCAATGCCTGCCAGCACTATCTCTTTTGACGGGTGGTAATGCCTCTTTGTGCCAACCATCAAAATTGAAAGCTTCAGATTCAATATGCAGCAATGATTGATTCTTGCACACTGGCTGGCCATACAGCCGCGCCTGAAGCATTGTGATAGGTATCCCAACAAAAAGGTGATCATGGGCGCGTGTGTGTGCGAGATAATGCTGCAAATGAGGGGGCTGTCAAAACATGGTGTCTTATGTCTTCCCTTTCGATTGTCCCGCAAAAACATCCTGGGCCAAAAAAAAACCAGTAGAGCCTAAGAATGCCTCAAAGCGCGCACTACGGCGTCCCCAGAAGAAAGCGCTGGTCCCAGGACAGGAGCCCGCACACAGTTCCAGGCAGCCATCAGCTCAGCCTCCTCAATGCCTGCAGTGTGAAGAGCGCATAGGGCTCTGTATGCCCTCGCCCACCTCACCAGAACGACAAATTTATATAAGCTTATTTAAGCATCGGCCGCATCCTAGCCCAGCTTTGTGCCACACTCAAAGTTCTCGAGCCAAACCCATCAAAGTACCAGCAAAGAACAGGACGAACCCCATGTTGAAAAATACACCCACCACCCGGCTGCGCATATAGCCCACCAGTGAGATGTCTCTAAGGTCTGCGCTGGGCGCGTTGCTATCATCTTGCTTCGAGAGCTGCAGCATGTCCTCCATGGCTGCTTCGTTATGTTCATTTTCGGGCCCTACTTGCAAGAAATGCAACCAAAGTGAAAGTCGGCTTCATGTGAGCTGCCAAGGTTCGCCTTTTGACGTTCTGTAGAAAGCCTCTCTTGGGGGGTCCGTGATTTTCCTGGTAAAATCATCACGCCCTCAAGGCGCGTTCCCGAACCATGTTTAACGAAACAACATATTATAATTGGGGTAACATGCAGTAAGGGGCACTGAGAGATACAATACCTAGAAGCAGTTTTGTCATGTTCATGTGTGTTGGTTTCAAAGAGTCAACAACCCTTATTGCGATGAGAAAAAACATCGTTAAGTCAGCATATGCTTGTGTACATCATTGTATGGTATGTGTGCAAGTTCATGGTGTATAGCATGACCCGCTGCTATCTTACCTTCAGCTCTCAAGCAGGTCCCCCCCTTGGATCGACTGATTTGCCATCTAAAGTTGAACGCGGTCGGTGTTCTCTTTGTTTCCCGGCAAAAGCCATCCAGCAGCAGGTGCCCCATAAAAAGGCTTACCCAAGTGCCATCGAAGTGGTTTGGCAGATCGTTCTGCATGGAGGCTTGCATGAATCTTGTCGATTTGGTCGAGAAGTCATGGTCTTTGGGGCTAAAAGCCATCGACAAGAGCGCCGTTTACTTGTGAAAATACCCATTTCTGCCAAATCAAACTCAAACGATTGATGACTTCAGAGACATGGCTCTGACATGCCACTTGTAGTTGTGCACACCGCACGATGGTTGTTTACAAAGATGTGGCTGTGGCTCAGAAAAATGTGACAAAATGGCACCTTGGTAAATGGAAACAAAGAGTAAAACCTGCGTAACCCCTGCTGTTTAATTTTGACCCACCGCCATGTGTTTGCAATGTCAGTCCCCCGGAGTCCCTGAGCCTTTGCGGGCCCGGAGTCACACGTGTTTTACCGCAAAAGCAAACGCACACACGTACACGTACGCACGCCAGCTCACACAAACACGGGCTTCAGTCCTGCGGTCGCACAACGCACTGACGTACGCATGCCCACGCAGAGATACGAAAATGATACAAATAAAGACACCACTCACAGACACACACAGACAATGTGGCGGCTAGATGTTTGTTGTGTCTGCCTCTTGTGTTCGATGCCCAAAAACCCGCCAAAAACGTGTTCGATGCCCAAGTCGGGGAAACGAGCAAGCGGGGCTGTGCAGGGGCAGCGGGGAACGGGTGTGGCGTAGTCACAAATAGTTATCTAATTCACATACCCACATCCCCATTCGCTCCGCCCACATTGCAACCTCTTCAACCGCAAACAACCCATCCAACTGTCCAGGAAGTTGAGTCTTTCGATGCCGTGCTTCGCATACTTTGTCCGGCAAAGCCTCGCTCCAGGGCTTCAACTGTCAACATGCTCTACAAATGTTCTGAGAATCTCAGACACCACAAGTAATTAACCAGTTGGTTTGGTTTTGCGCTCATGTTTGAACCAACAAAAAAACAGAAAATGATGTGGGCTGATAGTACTTGCCAAGTGATGCTTACCCCAGCATGTTGGCAGTTCAAAATAAGGCATCCTTGACCTTCGGTCCCCGGTATTGTCCATTGCCCAGGCGAGTTATGTCCCCGTGTGGTTTCCTGCAAGGGGGGAGGGGGGGGGGGGGGGTAATAACGCTCTGGCTCCAAAGTCTTTGGCCCAAACAGGCAACTGATGACAAAGGTTCTAGCGCACGGGTGCAACAGCCTACGGTTCCATACTTTGTTTCTTTAAAAAGTTGAATTGCCCCCCTGCAAAATTCGCCCCTGGCAGTAATGGTGAGCCCGACAAGAGAGTAGTATACGGCCCTTTCACACGGCTTATGTTGTGCAAGTCAAACGGGGTACATTGTCAGCGGCCCTGAAAACGGATCATTGAACAACATGGGTGTTTCTAAAACATCTGGACACCCCAGCTGGTCTTTCCAGGGAAACCAAGAGGACAACAACTGGTTTAGGAGACCACTATTTTGAGAAAGACCCATATGGATGTTCCCCAAACTTCGGGCGCTGGGCTGCCGACTCCTTCGCCCTCGCACCGAGGGCGGTGAAGTTCTGCTGCAGCTCCAAAACCTAGCATGCGCATTTCCAGCCAGCTTCATAGGCCGACTGGGCTACGGCGAAAACGCTGGGCCCTCCAAAGTTGGGTCTTTGGGTGGAGATAACGAGCCACATGCAAAATCTGGTCCAAACAAGGGCCGTGAG